TTTTACAAATTCTTAAAATGAAAATGGTTTATAATTATAGCGCCTACTATTTACAGGTAAAGCATTGCCCTAGTAGCTCAGCTTTATGTTTAGATCTGCCAAAATAGGATGTTTGGATAAAAAAAAATACGTTACAAAATCGTAGCATGTCTAAATATCTAAAACATTGTTAAAATTTTGTTTATATGCTACAAAATTATTCCAAGTTTTAAAAAAACCATAATTTGTTGCTCCTGGTTACATTTTTGTATACATGTACATATAACTAATATCATATAATCAAGAAATCTACAAAGGTAAAATTTTTAATTATTAAAGATCGTCTATAATTATGCAAAGAATTATTTTTAAGATTTTAGTTATAGAAGGGCCTAAAAAGCAGCAATTAAATGCCTTTAATTGTTCATTTTTCTTATATAATATACGAAAATAAAAAAAAAATATTAAGGAAATGAAAAGGAACTACTTCTTCAATAGTTTTATTCAAACTAAAAAATAATTTCAATTGAAAAATAAATTGAGGAAAAACATACGAATTATATCGAAGTTGGGTCGATTGAAGCGGTTCGAAAATTTTTTTAATGCGGTACCCTTATATTTACCCGAGCAGTGTTTAATATATTAAAATTTTGTTAAAAGGATATTACAAATTTCATAAAGAATTTTAATTTTTTAAATTTATTTATTTGTAAATAATTTCTACTATAGAACTTGAAGTAAATATTATTATTTAAAATATATCAATGTGCAAACACACTTTATTATTATACAAATATAATTAATTACATTATGATTATAAATTTAATTTTCTTAAGGAATAATTATCATCAAATCGAAATTTAAAAATATGCAATTATAATAAATAACAGACATACGATTTTTGATTCATATTAAAATTTTCCTAAAAGTATGCAATTTTTTTGAATTATAGAATGTTTGAGTTATAGAATGTAATCTCAAGGTTTTTGATTATCAAAATTATTCTGTTTTTGATTATCAAAATGTTTATAATCAAATTTAATTAATAAATTTATTAATGAGTAGATGTATAAATTGTTATATATATAAGTAGTAGGACTATAAGAAATAAATAAATACATATCTAAATCTGAATCATACGCATCTATGTAGTATTTTTAAGAATATAATATTACATTATGTAAATATGAACCTATATACAGTAAGTATTCGATTTGTAATATTTTATAATATAACACTTACTTCAGTTACAAAATGAAATAAAAAAAGTTTAAATAATTTTTATTTTGTTCTTTAAAAATATTTTAAATTTATTGCAGAAATTATTGCAGTAATCAGAAATCTTGCAGTATTCTGAATTTTTACTCAAAATGTTGAAGTGCATGAAAAACAGTATTCATTAAAAATGACAATAAAAATAGTGTTGAAATAGTTCAACTTTATTTTCATTCTCATACAAACTTTTTCCTTTCAAACCCACTTTTTTGAATCTAAAAATTTCATATCACGCGATATTACTGTGTTACATAAAGTCAAGTAACTTTTGTTATTAATTAATTAATATTTTTCTAAGTTAAAAGTATGAACGATAAGTTTGATGACCGTTAATATGACATTATGTTTGTTTTGTAATTCTTATATTTAACAATAAGAATAACAAAAAAAATATTTGAAAAATCAAAATTAATGCTAATTGATTTTGTCAAAAATTTCATGGTTAATTATTTAATTAAAATGAAATTTGCAATGCTTTAATATTTGTAGATTCTTTGTCAGAATTGTCATATTATTGTGACACATAAAATGCGATTTTTGCAAATTTTTCCGTTCGTAATATGAAAAAAAAAATATGTTTTTTTAACACAAAAGTATTAGAAATTTTTGAAATGGAAAATTTTATTCAATCATGCCACCTTCTTTTAAAATAATATTCTTATAGCTATACCACTTTTTTTTTTTTGAAAACGGAATAAAGGTACAAATTGAAACGTTAATTATATTATTATTATTTTTAATTGTTTTTTTTTTTTATTGTTAATTAATAAATTGAAAATAACATAATTTTAAGAAAAATATTTGTTAAATAAATTATAAAATTTTATAATATAGAGAGAAAAAAAAAATTTCATTCTTAATAAAATTCTAATTTTACAGTGAAATAAAAAACCTGATTTCAAATTGACGTATTAAAAATTATTGTGCTATATTTTTGGAAAATAAAATAATATGCGAGATATACAGTCAGACCTGTCGAAATAAGCACAAAATAAAATTAAATAATTTTCGTTGTTCATATCTGATTGCTCTTGTAAGTCTATATATAAGCATATGCAAGTATATAACATAGTTTCAAAGCGAATTTTCAATTAATGTGATTTAGCAATAAATTAGGAGCCATATACGAGTAACATGTGGTAGAGGGTCAAAAATGAGTAAAATTTTTATTCGGAATTAAAAATAGTGACAATTTATTAATTTTTCAAATTTTATTAGATCCTTTAAAAAGTTGACATAGGAATGGTTTTCTTGCCATACCATAAAAGATGTTTAATGACTTAAGCTTAAGCAGCTGTGTAAAAAGGTGTATATTCAGATTTTGTAAAGAGCATTTTGAAATATTCAAAAAATTTTACGAGAAATTATTGGGACAAAAGAAAACCAAAAAAATTAAAATGACTGTAACAAAAACTTAGATATGTTAAAATTTCGCCCAATTTTCTCAAAATTCCTGTAGCTCGAAATCGGCTGCGATTTGACACTAGGTTCCGAACAAAAACTTTACTCATTTTTGAACCCTAACCATTACCAATGATATATGGCTCCTAACTTGTTGCTGAATCACCGTGTATATAGATATAAATTCCGAAAGGGAATTATATATATGTAATTGAACTCATTTCTACAGTAATGTTTGAAATGAGTTGTTATTCAAAAAGAACGCCGTGTAATGAGATATGAGTAAATAGTATAAATAAGTATACAAAGTAAGAATAACGAAACATTGTTTTTAGGGAAAATGAAAAAATTATGATTTTGGCGAATTTATGAATAAAAATCTCAAAAAATGAATGAAATCAATTTTTTTGTCCCAATGTATGCGTTGCATTTACTTGTTATGAATAGTTATTCATAAGTAACTAAAACTGAGTACATCGACATTATTTCGAACAAATGCATAGATGATCTGTGCAGTTATGTTAATTTTTTCCGGAAAATAATATTTACAATGATTTACAACAGATGGATCGTGCTTTTTCAGAGTTATTAATTTTATTATTTGAAATATCTTTTTTTTAAAATGACATTTGAACAACAAAAATTTATAATTTAACAAATTTTAAATTTTTTTTGGTAGGCTACTAAACCAATAAGAAACTGGCAGTGCCAATAATCTAAAGCACTAACAAGATGTTTTAAAAACCAAAAAGATACGAATATTTTTGAACGATTCAACGCCATTGCATTTGTTAATAATTTTCAAATAATTTTGTATTCTGAGGCATTTAGAATTTTCTTTAATATCTGTATTTGATGTCAAAGATGAGTTTGATGTTGAATCAAACTTATAGAAGCAAACTTTCAAAAGCTTTTTAATTAAAAATCTAGAATTTTTGAAAATTTTATTTTACTTACATTTCAAAATATACGAAAAACAATAAATGCTAAATGTCCCATTATTTGCCTACTTCAGTTACTTCCATTTGTCAGCAACTAGTTTTATTTATCTATATTTTGTTAACTAAAATAAAGTTTTATTAATGTTTTGTAAAATAAATTTAATTTTTGCATTGTAAACTAAAATCCTAAGCATCTGTTGTTAGTACTTATATACAGAAGCAGACCGTTCCATTTACAAACTACTTTAATATAGGCTTGTAAGTAGTTTGAACATCTAAATGGAAGGTATAGTTGTTGTACTACGGATTTGCATATGTCTGAATGTTACTGTGTATTATGACTGTATTTTTAAGGGAAAAGAATAAAATTTTAGGAGATCATAACAAATCTATATAAAATACTGAAATAATTAAACAAAATATTGCATTGATATAGATACATAAAAGATAAAAATTTATAAAATTAATAGAAATTATTAATTTGTGAGAAAAATACCAAATAATAGTCGACAAAATTCTCTAAAATTTTATTAATAAGTGATTACTGGCAGTACTCAATGTCATCTTCCAAATTTCAAGTTTGTTTATTTTGTTTCCAAATTTTTTAAATTCGTGTTATGATAAGAAAATTCTAAGCTTTAATTATATTATCTCTTTTCAGTTATAGTCTGAATAAAATTGATTATTTGGTAAAATTTAAAGATGCGAATCCAACTTAATTTTATATGATTTAATATACATACATATGTACATAGACAATGTTAAACATTTTTGATAAAGTTTTGTAGTAAATTCTGTGGAAATTAGCCAAATGCCGATATTAGGAAATTTTGTAAATCGCATTAAGGTAAATATCGGACTTTGCAGCTTCGTAAAATTCATTTGTTAGGTTAATCTGCTTTTTTAAATTAGCTTATGTTTATCTCTAACTCAAGTTGGCCAAAAAATGGGCTATCGGGTTTTGGAAAATTTCCACAGAATTATTAATATAAAATTTGAAATTAATTTCTTTTATATTACTAGATTCCAATTGTTTTCGGAGTACATGATTTAAAATTTACGAGTTTTCTCCAAGTCTTTAAAAATCAAGAAAAAAAATGTTCTGACGGTACTTTTAAAATTTTAATAAGATTTGATTTTCATTCCGTCAATTGTAGATTATAGTTCCATGTACTAATTTAAGTACCAAAAATTTTTTTCGTGATTTAAATAATTTGTGAATTAGTTTGCATCTCTAATATCTACTATACGCTCAAGTTTAATAAGTTTTATTAAAAATATTGTATCATTTCATTCATTTAGTAAATTGAGAAGCTTGGTGATTTGTGGTCAAAATAAATAATTAAATTAATCCTGTAATTAAAATATATTTAATATTTCGTCATTTGAAATTTGAAATCAATAATGATTGGGAATGGTTTACTTAGAACTATAATATTTCAGTTAATATTTTTGATTTTTTTTGGCATTTTGATATGTGCTTTTCCAAATCCAGAAAATATTTCAGAAGTTTTAATTCAAAATAATATTAAAAATAATGAAATAATTGAAGATAACATCAAAAATAAGGATGATGATTCAAAATTTGAACGTGTTCGCTCATCAAATTTAAGCTCTATTGTGAAAGAACATATTGAAAATATTAATAAATATTTGAATAAATCAGCTGATCCATGTGAAGATTTTCATGAATATGCCTGTGGAAATTGGCAAAAATATCATAAAATTCCTCCAGATCATGCATCATACGATTTATTTCATAAATTAAATGATAAATTACGACAATCCTTGCACGATATTTTAACAATACAAACCAATTTAATTAAATCAGATTCTGAAGAAACAAGTATAGAAAAAGTTGGAATATTTTTTGAATCATGTGTTGATACTGATAAAATAAATGAAAGAAAATCGGAACCATTATTAGAATTTTTAAAGAAACTTGGTGGATTTCCATTGTTAGATGAAAATTGGTCGGAAAATACTTTTAATATAGAAAAAATATTAATAGAAATGTCACTTTATGATATGCAAACATTTTTTGCAGTCTCTATATTTCCAGATTTAAGAAATTCTGTTGATTCTGGCAAATATTTAATTTATGTATGGGATATTGATTTAGGATTACCATATAGTTCAGATTATTTAGATTCAGATTATGAGGAACGTTTAACTGCATATCGCATTTATATGACGGAAACATTAAAAGTTTTAAATGCTAATGATAAAAAAATAGAAAAAGTTGTTAAAGAAATTATTGATTTAGAAACAAGAATAATAAATGAGACGAATACAAGAGGATTATCAGTTGAAGAACAATTTATTCCAAAGACAATTGGTATTTTAAATAAAGATTATCCAAAATTCAATTGGTCTTTTTATTTTAACACGCTTTTCAATCGAAATTTTACTGAGGACACAAAAATTATTTTCTTTACTGGACCAAATATACAGGAAACTTATGACATTTTATTTGAAACGGAGAAAAGGATAATGGCTAATTATTTTAATTGGGTAGCCATTAATAAACTTTCGAAATATTTAGGTAAGAAATTCAATACTTTTCGCAACTAAAATTAATGAACTTACGGTTTTTAAAGTTACTTTAACTATAGTTTGTCAATTTTTTGAATGAATTTTTATGAATTGATTAAAATATGACCCCTTGTTTAGACGATCGATTTAAACCAGCAATTAAGCAGTTTGGCAAAGCAATCAGTGGAGCACAACCATTTTCAGAGAATGCTAGGCTTTCATGCGCAACGACAACAAACAAAAATTTAGGAATGGCTGTTAGTGCAATTTATATTAAAGAACATTTTCATGAATCAGCCAAGACAGAAATCGGTGATATTGTTAAATCAATGATTGAAGCTTTTCGACAGAATTTAGATAATACTGTTTGGTTAGACGAGGAAACAAAACTCAAAGCGGAAGAAAAAATTAATAAAACAAGATTTGCATTAGGATATCCGGATTTCTTATTGAATAAAACTGCACTAAATGAATATTATGGGGATTTAGTTATAGAATCTGGAAAATATTTCGAAAACATTTTAAATGTTCGAAAATTTCAAATTACAAAAGGTTTTAAGAAATTAAATAATGATGAAAGTATTTATGAAGATGATTGGTTTGAACCGCCAACAGTTGTTAATGCGTATTTTGAAAATGATAAAAACAGAATTTTACTGCCAGCAAGTTTTTTGCAACCACCAATTTATCATAAAGATTTTCCTAATGCCATAAAGTATGGTGCAATTGGTGCATTCATTGGGCATGAAGTAACACACGGATTCGATTCGAATGGTCGAAGTTTTAATAAAAAAGGAAAATTTGAAAGTTGGTGGACAAATAGCTCTCTGGAATCATTTACAGAAAGGGAACAATGCTTTATTGATCAGTATGATCAATTTTCGCTTTATAATGAATCTATTAGTGGTGATATAAGTAAAGGAGAAAATATAGCTGATAATGCAGGAATTCAGTTAGCATTTAAAGTTTATAATCAATGGTTAAAAACAAGAACAAATATTGAAAAAGAAGCTGAAATGTTACCTGGTTTAGAGTTTCTATCATTAACACAATTATTCTTTTTAAGTTATGCTCAATCATGGTGTGATTATGTTAGACCTGAAGCAGCTATTGCTAAATCATCTGATGAACATCCACCAGGTTCAGTGAGAATTCTGGGAACACTTCAAAATTTTGATGAATTCTCAAAAGCTTTTCAATGTTCGGAAAATTCGAAAATGAATCCTTCTAAAAGATGCAAGTTATGGTAAACATTGAATTTTGTTTTAATATGAACAAAAATTTGAAATTTGTTATAATTTAAAGTGCATTTTGAAGTTAATAATAGAAAATGGAAGTAAATAATATTTTTATAAAATCTAATTCTAAATTTTATTCTGGTTTATTCCTTTTAGATTTATTTTAGTATTTTTCTTTAAAAAATTGAAATAGCCTAAGTTTTCATTTAAGAAATAATAGATTACTGAATAAGTTATTGAACAGCTTATGTATACGTAAAGTAATAAAAGTAAGGGAAATAAAATGGAGTATAGGATTTATTAATTTTTTCATAAAAATTACAACAATTACACGAAATGTTAAATTTTATATTTCGAGATAAAATGAAAAGAAGACTTAATTGAATCTCTAAACAATTATTTTGTAGATGAATTTTCAAACTGTTGTCCCATTTCGAATAAAGACTATCTGAATAAAATACCCTCGTGTCCTTTTACAAAAATAAATATAAAACATACATTGCAAAGAACTTTTAACGAAGGGTCTGGAATGTAAGTCGTGGTCTGGTCACTATAAAAATCATCCTTAATAGTGTACAACTTAATGTACAATGTTTATTATACGATAAAATGTTAAAATATAAAAGGAATAACTCCTATACACAGAAAAAAAAGAGTAGAAAATTTACCTAAAACAATAGTATAAATCACCTAATGAAATGCTTGATTTTCAGCCTCCTAAACTATTTAGCTACATTGCCTAATTTAAATTAGCTGAATTTACTTTTTAATAATTAGGAAAATTAACCAAATAAATTAGCTAATTTATCTACAATACTAGCTAAAACACCTAAACATTTGTCTGGATTTCAACTAAGCAAATAGTTGGTTCACCTAATCTTTTAGTTGAATTATTTTAAAATCTTTTTGGAATTCAATTAAAGAAATTGGAATTTCACCTAAATAAGTAGCTGAAAAATATTCCCTACAATAGATAATATGCCTAATTATTTAGTTATAAGAATCGAAAATATAACTATTTAATTAGATAAGTAAAATAGAGTTTTTACCTATTATATTAGAAAAAGTACCTAAATAAATTCGGCTCTCTTCTAAATTTATTTAGGCTTAATCCTGAAAATAAGAGGATGTTATAAATTAAAAATTAAGTTATGTTTCATTTAATTTTATTCACAACAAAAGAAAAATGTATTATTTTTAAAACATATATAGGTAATCAAAAAAAAACTTATTGGTTTTCAAATCACTAAAAATAATTACGTCATTAATTTGGTATAAAGTATTGTGGACATATAATTTATTTGTGCAACTTAGTTTTTCAAATTTCAAATTTTTCAGGCTCCAAATGTAATGATTGACTTTCTGAAAGTTTTTAACACTCCTGCGTTTTGGTATTTTTTAGATAAACTGTAATACTTTTCTAGTAATTTACCTCGTTGACCTTTAGCTCCAAAGTAAATTTACTAAAAGTAAAACTATATCAAGAATCCAAGTAATTACATTAACGTATAAACAATAAAAAAACAACTACTAACCAAATCGAAAGTTTCGCTTATGCTACTACCTTGCTGCAACGTAGACGTACTCTGTGTATTTGAAAGCCAATTTCCGACTGTATTAGATGTAGATAATGTATCAGAACCTTGTTTTATTTTTTAAATTTTTTAAAATTAATTTCAATCACTAAAAATTTACTTTACAAAAACAAAACTATGCTTCTTAACTATATCAATATTCACCATGTACTAGCTTCTATTCAAATACTTTAAAAATTAGAATACAAAAAAAACTAGCGGTACTTTGAATTTTCTCTTGATAAAACGAGTGTTTTTATGTGAATTCAGCTAATGTTTTCGATATTTCGACTAATGTTTTAGTTAATTTTTTTTTTGGAGCAAAATAAAGTGGCTGAATCACCTAAAGTTATAGTTAAGATATCTAGAAAAGTAGTCATTGAAGAAGAAAAGTAGCGGTACTTTGGTTTTTTTTCTAAATAAAACATTTTGATCTTTTCATAACTCAACTAATGTTTTCGGTAGTTCAGCTAATGTTTTAGTCAATCTTTTGATATAAAATGAAATAGCTGAATCAACTACTGTTGTAGTCAAAATATTTAAAAATGTAGTCATTGATTAGGAATTTATATAAAAACTGTAAATTTATTTTTTGTTTTCTTTTCTAAAATAACCAAATGTTTAGGTGAAATGTCTATTAAAATTAGTTGAATATTTTCAACTACTTATTTTAGATAATACACCTAAAGGATTAGACATATCACCTATTTTTTTTAATATTGCATTCAACTTATTCTAAATAGTTGAGCCAGCTAATAATGAATTTTAAAACAGCTAAAGAAGTTGTCAATACTTCTAATTGTTTATAAAAAACACCTAATTTGTGATCAGCTAATTACGATTAGTTGAAAAATCTAATTCATTTTTTTCTGTGTATCCATAATATTCGATATTAAGAAAAACAAGCTGTAAATATCAGTACCACAGCAAATTTACAACCGCCTAATTAATTCAATAACTTGTGAAATCAATTGGAGTAAGGCTGAAAAATAAAACACACACAGGGTGTTTCTTAACATAAAATTGCTTCCGCTGCTTTGAGCGACTATTCTTATTCAATTAAAACTAGTTATTAAAATAATCCACTACAATTGAATGTCCGTGAAATATTTTGACTTAATTGTTAAAATGTTACTGCAATGCTTACAATTTAGGCCTTTATTCATAATTTTTCTCTCTTATAAAAAATGCTGACCTATAGTATACAGGATAATTTTCAAAAATAATTCAAAACACAAAACTTTTTTAGTTGAATTACTCGTAGTATAACTTCGTGACACTAAAATAAGATTTATTACTTTCTCTTCTTTGACTTTGGTTTTTTCTTATAAAATATGAAATTACGTTCGCCTAATTTTGTCCTTTTTAGACTATTTCTGAAGAATATAAATTATAATTTATTTTCGACTTTCATCTGTTGCAAAGATTAATTAAGTTTTTGTATTTTACCAAAGATTTATTTTTAACGTTATCTCATTTGTAAGAAAATTTTTGCTCTTATTAAAGAGTAAAAGACTTAAGAAATAGTAAAGCGATAAAAAAAATTAAAATTTTGTGCTTGGTGATATTTTTTATGATATTGTGGTACTAGTATAATGTCAGCACTGTGTGCCTTAATTTTGATTTTTATGTTATAAATTATTTATAATTGCAATTACTTGAAAAATTTGTAAGAGTAAAATCGGAGTACTATATAAAATTAGAATAAATTAGATGTTTTACTTTTTAGAATATCTGCTCACTTTATATTCAAGGTGTTGTTGAATGAAATTTTGGCTTATTTCTTGTTTGATTGTGTTACTTTAATTTTACTTCTGTGGTTAGTCTTGTGTTGAAATATAGTTGAGATATATCCAGAAGTTTTTGTGAAACAGAGCGAAAAATTCTTGCAGCAGCTACCAAATACAATTCATAATTTTAGTGAGATTGTCATGGTGTAGGTAGGGTATAATTCAGCCGGCTTGTATGAATTGAATATGTATGATCTCATGTATAAAATGTAACTGGAAAAAGGGTTAATAAGGGTCAATGCTAAACAATACCTAAAAAATTATTAAAACTGCAAAGTAATAAGTTTTTTCTTTTGTTTTTATTTAACCGTATTCTACCATAATTTACATTTTTTCGAAGGATTCATAGGACTATTCAGTGGACATTGAAATGCTTTCGCAAATTCATCAAAATTTTGTAAGGTACCTAGAACTCTAAAAGCACCTGGTGGGTGTACGTCTGCTAATTTTGTTTCTACAGCTTCGGGTCTTATAAAATCGCACCAGGATTGTGCAAAACTCAAAAAGAATAATTGTTCTGGCGCTAAAAATTCCAAGCCTGGTAAAATTTCATTTTGTTTTTCTTCTTCGTTCATAGAATTTAACCATTTCCGATATACTTTAAAAGATAATTGTAAACCACCATTATCTGCTATATTTTCTCGTCTTGTTAGATGACCATTTAAAGAATGATTATATAATAAAAATTTATCATATTGATCAACAAAACATTGTTCTTTTTCCATAAAAAATTCAAGTGATTTATTTGTCCACCAATTACCAATATTACCATCTTTATCAAATGATCTTCCATCAGAATCAAAACCATGTGTTAATTCATGTCCTATAAATGCACCAATTGCACCATAATTCATTGATTTTGGAAAATTTTTATTATAAATTGGTGGTTGTAGAAAGCTAGCTGGCATAATAATACGATTTTTTGGATTTTCAAAATATGCATTCACTACAGTTGGATTTACTGACCATTCATCTTCTGCAACATAATTTTTATCTAATTTACGAAAATCTCTTGCAACTGTAAATTTTCTAATATTTAAAATATTTTCAAAATATTTTCCATTTTGTAATTCCAAATCCTTATAATATTTATTTAGTGCTGTTTCATTTAATAAAAAATTTGGAAATCCTAAATCTAATCCAGTTTTATTAACTTTTATTTCAGCTAAATGCCTTGTTTCATCGTCAAGCCATTCAGAATCATAAAGATTTTCTCGAAAAATATTTTTTATTTCTTGTCCAATTTTAAAAACTTCTGCTTTGGCATTCTCATCAAAATATTTTCTAATATAAATTGCGCTAACAGCTGTACCCAATCTAATATTTGTTGTAGTTGCACAAGAAAGGCCACGATTTTGTGTATCCGATTCAGATCCACTAATTGCCTTACTTAAATTATCTATTGGCACTTTAAATTCATCATCTAAAATGAAATAAACATTAATGAATTAATTAAAATTTAATTTTAAATTTATTGAACATATTCAAATATGGTTGAAATGGTGGTAAAATGATAAATAAAATTTCTAAATTTTGACCAAGTGTACGATTCAAAATTCTTATCCAATAATTTTGAATCGTACAGCATATTGCGCTAGTTTGTTCGTTCTTATTAGAAATCTCGATGAATGTAAACTAACCTTTAAGTTTTCTTTGAAATAATATTGTTCATTCAACTTGTTTTGATTCAAAATATTTGGGATTATTTGTATAAAAAATTTATTACTTGTTGACCAGTTAATCAGTGATTAATAATCAGTGATCAGTGAAAATAATGATCAATTTATCAAATCGAGAAAAAAACCATAAAAATCTCATTAATTCTATTATTAATATGTAATTTAATTACAAATTTGACAAAAAAACAAAACAACTTTTGCGTTGTATAAATTTAAGAGACGCCACCATAACTTACCCAGTAATGGAAAAGTTAAGCTCTGAAAATTCTTTTTGTGCTTTCTGTACCTACATATTTAAAACAGGTTGAAATCGTTAAAATTAAATTAAATTGCTGCTCATTAATAATTCGAACAGTTTATTATTACTATAATACATAAGAACGTTTCAAATGTCTTAAGATAAACGAATACTGTTTTGAATCATAAACATTAAGAATTTTCGATTTCACTTCGTTAATTTCTAAATGACAAAAGTGTCGAAAGAATATGTATGTTGTGATAAATCCTAATTTAAATTAAATATTACTGAACAAAGTGGTTAAAAGAATAAAAGATCGAAGCATGTTCGTAATCTTGTTGGACTAATAAAGCTTTAAGCAGATTTACTAAATTTATTTATTTTTTTAAAGTAACAATGATGGGGGATTGGTATTCTGATATAAATATTTAAATTTTCAGGTGGCACCTTTTTCATTGACTTGTTTAATTTATTAAGGAAGAAGAAATTAAAAAGAAACCACTATGTACTTGAATTTTTATTTTATTTTTGAAATTAAAATTCAGTCAGCGTTTTTATTACGGGTAGATAGATCTTTGTATGATTACAATATTAAAGTAACTTCAAAATAATTTCCCATTTTATTGGAATATTTATTTTTCATTTGCACTGCAAAGCAGTGTTTATTATCTGTATACATGTTATTCACATACATGTATGTGCGGTTATATGTAAATTACTCATTAATTACGTCTGAATATTAAGTGCCAAAATTTTATTCATAAACTATTAATTCAAATAAAATATTTCTATTCTAATCTCATTTTGAAATCTTTTTATTTTAAAATAATCGCATTTATATTTAGAATTTTAATAAATTGAATATTGTGCGGTACACTCAAAAAAACACAATTATGTTGAAGTTCAATTCAAATTTACTCAAATTCTGTGAAAAATAAAAAATTTGTTTTATAATTTTTTGGTACTTAGTTTATGTTAAATATAATATTATTTAACAAGTGTTATATAGTTCATACAACAAATTATCTACATAACAAACTTCTCTAATTATTGATCAATTATAGTGACGGTAGAAGAACTTAATGTTCAATTTAATTTTATGCTTAGCGAATGTTACATTTTTCGCAATTTCTATTCCATAATTTGGAAAACACATATCACACTGCATATTTTTGTTATATTTTAGTTTGTTAGATATATATTGATCAGAACTTAATATTGATCAATTTTATAAGAGCAACTTTTCATACAAGTTTAAAAAACAAAAAACGCTAAAAAAAAGCTTTTAGTTTGTGAAATTTAAATATGTTGAATAAAAGAAAAAAAACTAATTAAATTCAAATTATTTTTCGCTCCAGGAAAAATGATTAAAATTAACAAAAATAGGTGTGTGTTTTCAGTGAAATTCTTGTAAAAATATTAAAAATTTTCCTGAGTGTGTAATCACAATATATACTCAACATTAAAATTTATGGTTTTTACGTTTATTTTAATATAATTTATAAATTAAAATATATTTGAACTTTATTATCAGAAAAGTAATTTTATAAATAGCTAATAAAAAATAAAAACAAAAACTAAAAAAGTTTCCCGCAATTTGATTTAATTGTAATCATATTTAACATTGTATATAATTATATAAAAAATAATAATTATATACTTATGTACTTATCAAATAATTTAATGAATGAATGAATAAAATTAAATATAAAATTAAATATATATATATATATATTTGATTTTCTCACCTAAATATTTAACCAAACGATCAATAGCAATCCAATTAAGATAATTTGCCATAATTCTTTTATCTGTATTAATAACGATATCATAAATTAATTTCAATTTAGGACCAGTAAAAAAACCAATTTTTGTATCATCATTAAAATTGCTATTGAAACTTTTATTTAAATAATATTTCCAATTAAATTTTGGATAATTTTTCATTAAATCACCAATTGTTTCCGATTTATATAATTCTATTAATGTTAATTCTTTAATATCAGTTACATTTGCTAATTTTATTTCTAAATCAATAATTTCATCAGCAACATTTTCAACTTCATATTCATTTGCATTTAAAATTTTTAATATATCAATTATATAAGTACGATATGCATTTAAATGTAAATTATTATCTGATTCTAAATAATCACCTTCATTATCCAATCCTAATGATGGATTTAATATATATATTATAAATTTTTTAGTATTTTCTAAATCAGTATCAACAGCAAAATGAAATATATTTTCCATATCATATAATGATAATTGTATTAAAATTTCTTCTAAATTAAATTCATTTTCATTCCAATTCTTATCTAATAATGGAAAACCATTTAATTTTTTTAAAAATTCTAATAATGGTTGTGATTTTCTATCATTTATTGTATTCATATCAATACATGAATTAAATAATATTCTAGCTAATTCTGTTGTTTTCACAATACTATCATCTGATTTAACTGAATTAATTTCTGTTGTTAAAATATCATATATTGAATCTCTTAATTGATCATTTAATTTATCAAATAAATTATATGAATCATGATCATTTGGTATTTGATGATATCTTATCCAATTACCGCATGTATATTTATAAAAATCTTTACATGGATCAATTGTTGGATCTATATATTTTAATATATTATTAACATGTTCTTTAATATTATCATATGAATTTATTAAATTAGTAGAGGGCATATCGGCAATATCATTATTTACAATAATATAATTACTATTTGGTAAACTATTTATATGAACAATTTTTAATGTTAATTGCATTAAAAATAATTTTATTAATAAATAATTTTTAAACATTTTGTTTTAATATTATTTGTTAACATTAATTATTTAATAAATTTTTAATTTATTATAAATATATTAAATATATTGAGATTATAATTTAGTTATAAATTCTTTATTTGTTTTTTAAAATAAAATTTTATTAAATTTTATAGTTATAATCGATTTTAATTTATTTTGATTTTGTTTCAATAATTTTTATATCACAATTTGAATTTGTATTTTTTTTTAGTTTTTTTAAAACTTTTTAGTTTGCGGACTAAAATAAGACTGTAAGATTATGTACGATTAGAGTAAGATTATAAATGTAAAATTTAAAATCTTTAGAGAACTTTTTGTTTTTTCTGTTTTTGGTTTTGTTTTTTTTTTTTTACATGGTGATAAAACGAGAAAATGAAGCTTTTGCTTGACCATCTGAACTTGAACACTAAAATATTAATAATATGATGTTAAAATTCAAAGCGAGTAATCATTAAATAACAATAAAAAAAAATTAATTTTGTTTTTCTCATTTTTTCTTTTTTTTTTTGTTAATTTTAATGTACAACTGGTTTTGAGAATTTAAAAAAAAAAATAAAAACAAAAGCCATTATTGAGAGGAAAGAGTAAAAAATTTTATTATAAAAATTGTTAAGAACATCAGGCATATTGTAGGCATGCCATAACCCCATATACTCTGTGCTATATTATTTCGAAATTCCAGTTATCAAATTCAGCTTGTGTTTTTTAAAGGGAACTCTTATTCAATAATATCGATGGTCCATAGAGAAATTCTTTAAATATTTTCTTAAAATGTATATTAATTGAAGCTTACAAAATCGAAATTCATTTTTCCAATAAGTTTGTACTCGTATGTGCGACAATTTTATGAGCTTTTATTTGTACATTGTGTGTGAAAAATGCCCTTTACAAATTTATCATTAATTACAATAAAAAAAACGAAATTGTATGATTAATTTAAATAGTATAAATAAATTGATTTAAGAAATAAATTTGGATCAAACCTAACAATAGGCTTCTTGAATAAGTGAAAATATTTTTATTTTTTTTTAAACGATCTAATATACTAGCTATAATAGCAATTCAAATGATACAAATTTTACAATAAAAATTTACTTTTAACAAAAAAAAAAATTTAATCATGTTATAAATTGGAAAATATGGTCGAAAATTAGTAAACAAGAAGTTAGTATTGTATAAAAAATAAAAGATTTACCTGTAACCAAAATTTCAGTGTCTAACTTAAAGGACACGGAATTTTTGTAAGCAGACACAACAGCAGACAGATTTTTGTAACAATTATTGAATTCGCAGCACTTCGTTATCAAATACATTGAATGCCATTGAAGTTATGTAAAGCTCGACACAAAATTTAATGTTATTTTGGAAATGTTCTGAAAAATTTAAAAGTGTATTTAACATTTTCAACTAATAACAAAGATTAACCATCTTTGATTTTTGGTCTAAATGGTCATTTACTCTTGGTCTATGATTCTTGTTCTAACTTTAATTTTGAAATATATAAAATTTTCATTAATAAACTAGCTGCCCTCTACATATTTTAGGTATTCATACTATGATTCTAGAAATTAGAAGTGGATTTGTAAAGGTTCTTCATCTAATTAGTTTTTTTTTTCTTCTTTTAAGTAATTGATTTTTTTTTTTAATTTACAATTAAACAATTAATCATTTATCCATTTAAAATATTATGTATATATGGTGTATGTATGACTACATTTATCTATGAAATATTACGTAGCTATTTTATTAAAGCTTCTTAATTACGTTGTAATTACACGAGCGTTAATAATTTTTTAAAAATTAAGATTTAAAGTTAATGTCTCACAATGGATTTTTTTTTAACATGAAATGGGAGTTTTCTTTTCAATTTACGCTTTGAACTTTTGTGTTCTTAAAACGTGCGTTGAATCATCATTTGGCATACTTTTTTTTTCCTATATGAAACAGGTTAGCGAAAGTTGGAAAGAAAAGCAAAGGAAATATTTTTTTTTTTTGTAAATTTTTATGGATTTTAGGAAATAAGGCTTGTTTTGTGATTTTTTATGTATTACAATAAAATTATTGAATTTTTCACTAAAGAGTTTTTAAATTGCTTGTTTGAATGAAGCGGTGAAACGAGATTTTTAAAATTATCTTATGTGCAAATTTAGAATTTAAACTAAAGACATCCTAATTTTTTTTTACAGAACGATACTAGCGAAATATATACATATGCCTTGGTGGATTAAAATAATATTTAAATATTATCGATCAGAGTTTTCGACTGGAAACGCCAGACCCCACACTTTAATATAAAAACTTTAACCACAAAGTTTAATATGGAAACTTTGATTTTATATAATAAACCAAATAACAAGAATCTTGGGAGCTCGGTTTAAGTATATTAGGACGCCCATAGAAACTCTAGAAATTTCTTTTTTTTTTTTTTTTTTTTATAAATATCGATTTACATCTTCAATTTTAAAACTAACATATAGACTTACCATATAGCAACATACTACTAAAAATTTACAAACTTTTATAACATAGTTACAGTATATCACAGTTACGACAATTTTTGCTAATTATTATTTTAAAAAATTAAATTTTAGATTTAGTTAGAGACTTAATAGAATCATTCCCCAATAGACTTCGGAAAATTATATAGACGCCCAAACCGAAAACATGTTATTAGATATTACAATTACTTTGATTTAAAGTATAATATTAAATTTATTTCCCTTTATACCGTTCTTAAAGGGCATATTAGTTTCAATCTGTCCATCCGTCCGTCCGTCCGTCCGTGGACATGTTTACAAAACTTTTACACCCTTGAAGGTGAAAAGCTGACATTTCATGTGTACATAGATGTTTACTAGAAACTTATTTTTGTAGAAGAAAATTTTTACCTATCTCCCCCCTCTAGAAGTTATACCCCCCCCCCCCCCCCCCCCCCCTCCCCAAAACCCTAAAAATGTCATTTTTCAACTATTTATTGCAACGAAACCATAACCATTTTTTAAATTTTGCAAACGCAGAAAGTAGTAGTTAGCATATCATCTACCGCGGCATACTATGTTTTCCAAATTTTTGATATCGTTATTCTTCAGACCCAAGCTCGTAGGAGTCTGAAATTTTAGCAGTTTTTAGTTTTTTTTTTTTAATTTTACAAAATTGCAGCCGACATTTACATATTCATTATACAATTATATTTTATAGAGTGAAATGTAATCATGAAAATAATAATGTGAAAATTCTGAAACAACCGAACATTCTGAACTGAATAAACTTCTGAGAAATTATTCTTTATTTCATACAGAAATTGAGAAGGGATTCCTTAATTTCTTTTTAGTTGCGTTAATATGCACTTGAAGAGAAAGAAAAGTTTATTTTTCTTTTATTATTATTAATTTTGCAATAATTGTATTCTATCCACGCCAATACGATAAGGCGATATTGTATTATTGATACTAGCCATTGTAATATTACAAGGACGCCAAAAACAATCATCACGAAAATATTTTATCCTGGAAAATGAAACTTGTAAATAGAAAACGGATATTTTTATACTACAACGTATATGTGTGTACGTATCAATATAAACACTCAACTTTATAGAAGTGTGTGAAGTTGTTTTTATGTGTGTATATTGAAATATATACATAATATTTCTGTACTTATTCCAACAGTCAATTTTTATGCATCATGTACTCCTACAGTAAATATTTAAATTAAAAATAAAATTGCAAATTTTATATTAATGCTTATTCGATGAATATGACAATTGCCGTATTAAAAAATGACATAAGAAATTTATGATTTTTTAAGCATGAATATTTTTTTAGAGGGTGTAAAAAATGAAAAAAAAATTTATTAAATAACAACAATTTTTAAATTTATTATATAAATATTATATAATATGATTTATCGTTTTCAAACGTAATTATTTCCCCCATCCTGTTTTGTATAACACCTTCGATTTAGCAGAATCAATAATATGTTGGCGTGCCATTTCAAATTTATATTAGTATAAAAGTAAATACACATATATGTACATACACCAATATGTATTTTTATAAACATAAATCAAAGGTTGATTGAAAGATAATAATCGCGTTTTTTAAATATTTATGTACATTTGTATGTAAAAAAGGAAAACAATTATATTAACAATTCTATGAAATTACATTACACTTTAATTGTGAACTTATGTATTTGGATTTATAATTTATGAGAAATACCCATATGAATTGTAGGGAATCAAAATTAAATCCAACAAAAAAAATTTCAAGTTCTACTACGGTAATATAAATCTTTCATATAAGGGAAGTAGTGATGCATGTATCTGTGAATATTATTTACACTTCACATCACAGACCCAACATAGTTTTATACATAGTTTCGTGATAAAAAAATCAGGTTATATAATCAAAATAATTGAATTATACTATATATACACGAAACGCGCTATATTTAAACAACGAGTCAAAGCAATAATACTCTGATATACTCAGATTTAAGTACTCTGTATATGTTATAATGTCTATAGATATTGGGAATTGAAATAAATATTTGCATTATAATTGAACTTAAAGCGTTTGTGCTTTGATTTTTTCCAATTAAGTGTTGTTTGCTTTTAATTTACTTATTTTTTCGATATTTAATAAGTTGTGTTTGGATAAAAGTTACCTTCAACATAAATTCCTGTTCTTTATATACACGAAAATTGAATTGTAAATGGGTAAGAGCATGATTATGGGAGAGCATTTTAGATAATTATATCGCGGTTTTTTGTTCTACTTATCAAATATAAGATAATAAAATAGAACGCAAGTGAAATGAAATTTAATATTACAATTTATGCCACCGTGTTTTAAATGCTCACATAACTCTTATATAATTTTGAAATTGTGTGAGAGAATTTCAAAAATCATAAAATTTTAA